TGTGTGAAAACCAAGGAGGAACCCACTCGGGGGATTAATAACGTTTTATTTTATCTAATCTAATCTAATCTAATCTAATCTAATAACTTTAATCTCAGCCAAACCGATTTACTCACGAACAAACAAAACACTGAAAAAAGCCCAACAATAACATTTTTAGGTTGTCTAAGTGACTTATATATAACATTTAACACGAGCAGCGAACGTCTGCTGTTTGTGGAGGTAAAATACATCCGCACATGACTCCAACTACGCTCAGCCATTGTTGTGAGTGCGCACGCCAGCGGCTGCAAGACATTTATACAGCCGCATTTCGCACATAACTATGAAAGGAAGTAGTTCCTTTGAATGTAGACAATCCGAATGCTACAGTTTCTTTCCACTGTGTTCCTGTTAGGCCATGATGGTTTTTTTAGCGACTTTTCGGACAGCCAAAAGCGATTTTCCTTACTGAGGAGTTGGCAACACTGCAACCTGTAGATGATCACTAGCTGGAACCCTCATCCTCTCACCCGGGCCACTAACCCCTCCTGTGCCAATAAGTACAGTTATAGTTCATGATTCATTCACAACCGTTCTTCACAGAAACACCTTGTGAACTTTGTCTCCTCTCATTGCAGGCATTCAGAAACTTCTGGTTTCGTTCCCTGGCCTGAAAACTCCCTTTTCCCTCACCTCACAGAATCCCTGTGTCCATAGTTATTCGAGTGCCTTATGTTATTTTTTACAGTTCATGTTTTCTACTTGCTTTCAAGTAAATCACACATCTCTCACAGGTCACATCACACCATGATTCACAGTTGACAGTCAAGCCATCGCTATTACACTCTTTTGTAAATAAAGACTTGTAAATCCCATTCACCAGTGCCTCCGTGTGTGATCTGCATTTGAGTCCGTTTGTCTGATTCAGCTTTCCGACGTGACCGAAAGCCCCCCCCCCCTTTCTCTAAGGAACTGGGCGGGTCGGGGGGTTGTCTCTGCACTACTTATGGTACGATAAGGTACAAGAACATATTTAAACACAAGAGTCACCATAAGTGCATGTGGCACCAGGACACCCTAGGTCACATGCTGATCGGTTTTGTAAACATCATCAGATATCCGGCCGTATGTTCTGGACACTCGAGTGATGAGAGGTGCTAAGCTGTCAAAAGATCCCCACCTGGGGTGAGATAAATCAGGCAGCGTGGGAGGACACTGGACAGACCTAAATGTTTAATGATGGTGTGTTGGGAATACTTAGTAGAGGCATCTTCCACTCTCACCTACGGCAGAGCTTTGACAGGAGTCTGTACGACACTGAGGACATTGAAACTGACTGGACCATGTTCAGCACCTTCATCACTGAAGCTGCATTGAGCTGTGGCTGTAAGATGGTTGGTGCCCTTTTGTGGTGGTAACTGCTGAACCACATGGACACCGGAGGTGAAGGGAGCCACCAGGCTGTAGAAGAATTCCTATTGGGTTGGGGTAGCCTGTGGGACCTCGGAGGCAGCCAGAGGGCACTGATTGGACAAGTGGAATGTCTAGCACTCATTTTTAACATAAATGGTCATTCACATAATTTGTATTCTGTGCCATTTTTTTCATGTCACTGTTATAATGAAGTACTTTATTAGCTTTTCACCTGTCATACATTTTTTTTTTTGTTTTTTATTATTGCTTTGTTGTGTAGTGTCATCATGTTTTTGTGAGGGTTTGCTCTTTTTGTAGGGCGGCTACAGTCTGGCTTTCCCCTACAACCGACTCAGATGAAATTCTCTTCATTTGCACCAGTGACTGTAAAAAAACGTAGATGACCTAATAGCTCCCAAAGAATGAAGCCAGTCTATATCGCCACCCGGTGTCTCGCTGCAGCATAGGTTAAACACCCGCCTTCTTCATGATAGCAGATGGGACTGGAGCCAGACTAAAATAAAAAAATTCTCCTGAGATAAATTTTCCTAAAGATTTTTTCATTCATTATCCGCAGTTCCCATGATGCATATTTGTCCTCAAGGGCTCTCCTTTATCACATGTTTGATTCTAATTACTAGCATAATGCTGTTAAATTGGGCTGTGACGTCAGCTTTAACTGGCAGCTGCAGTCACAGAGAAACTTGAGCCTTTCTGTTTGGGAATAGCAGATAGAGCGGGGACGCTGAGAGGAGGTCCAGTGTTTATGTTACAAAACCACGACCGACTGTTTCAACCTGACAGCCTGAGGTGTTCTTCAGTAAACTGGACTGAATATGTGCAAACAGCAGCATGTTTTCTGTCTCTTGCCACAACTGTATTTACATGCTGAAACCGATTACAGCCATTTGGCAGCTTAAGTTCAAAGTTATGTTTAATGTTTTCACTGATCAATAATTTTAGAACTGACAACTGACTCTGTGTGTGTTTGTTTATTTATTTATTTATTTTACTGAGTTTTTATTAAATACTAAGGTAAAAAAAACAAACAGTCTATGAGCAATACCTCATCAAGAATCATTCAAAGCTAACATGTGCAGTACTCCGTACAGCTTACATCCTTAGAAAGTAACCACTTCAAGCATTAAGCCTTTGAGGTTCACACCAAGAAAACTGCAATTTAAGAAATAATTCTTTGCATTGTTTTTTCCTTTAGAACAACAGCAACAAAGTTTAGATATTTTTTTAACCAACTCTATAGTTTTTTAAACATAGTCCTCTACCAAACAGTAGAGATTTTCATTCATGGCAAAACTCAGAATACACAAAAAAATTTTTTTTAAGTTTAATAAAACTTATAAACTTCTGCAACTTCGCAGCAGAGTACACTGAACATATAAAAGAGAGTTGTAGTGCTATAGAACCCACTGCCATTGAGATTTAGAGGCGTTAGATTTCCGGTGATATGCAACAAAGCACTGCTGGTGGGCATTCTTCACAGAAACACTTTGCACTTCTGACAATTTCACCTTGACACTCCCTTTGGACAGAGGTTACACCGGCCTCGGTTGTCAGAGTGAAGTGGCAGGTGTCCCAAGTTGTCATAACGCACATCTTGTTGTGGATGTGAAGGTCTTGGGGTGAAATGTTTCTGCTGAGGCAACATTTGAGGTGGAGAAGAAGATGATGGTCGACCAACCTTTGATGGAAACTGCTAGACAAAACCTTTTGACAGGGAGCGGTTTCACATTCAGTAGGGCACAGTCCCTCTTGTGAACAAGCCAGGCATTTGAGATGCCAAACAGCGGAAAATACCATCGCCTTGATTTTGCTGGAGTCCTGTACATTATTCCTGCGGAGAAGCTTGTAGTAGACTCCAGCCATCACTTGCCGTTACTTATTAGGGTGTGACCCTAACCCTAGATATGAAGCAGGGTGGGAGGGATATTCCTGCTGAGGTCAGCTGTTCAGTGTAAGCGATGTCCTGCTTTAATTTAGAGATTGCAGAACTGCTGCTTTGCCTGGGTGGATTTCTGGCTATTGGGCCGAGGTCCTTATACACCGGTGGCTATTTTCATTTGTTTTAAAATCGGTTTAACTTGACAGGAGCTGAAGGCTAAGATGGAGTAGATGACCTGCTCCACCTCCTGACCTATAGTCACCTCAGTAGTGTTGCTAGCAGAAGTTGAAGTAAATTATGTAGAAATATTCATTCATATTCTTTTCTACTCACAAAAAGCATGAATTCAGTCTCCTTGAAATTAAGGGACAATTTATTGATATCAAACCACATCTTCAAAATTTCCAGTTCATTTTCAATTCTATACAAGAGATCCTTTACATTACCTTTATGCTACCTCCAGTAACGCTGTGGGAACCTTGGAGTCATTTTTGACCAGGATATGTCCTTCAACGCACATATTAAACAAATGTGTAAGACTGTGTTCTTCCATTTGCACAACATATCTAAAGTTAGAAATATCCTGTCTCAGAGTGACGCTGAAAAACCAGTTCATGCATTTATTACTTCTAGGTTGGACTACTGTAAGTCATCATTATCAGGATGTCCAAAAAACTCACTGAAAAGCCTTCAGCTGATCCAAAATGCTGCAGCAAGAGTCCTGACAGGGACTAGGAAGAGAGAGCATATTTCTCCTGTTTTGGCTTCCTGTTAAATCCAGAATTGAATTCAAAATCCTGCTCCTCACATACAAGGTCTTAAATAATCAGGCCCCATCTTATCTTAATGACCTTGTAGTACCATATCACCCTATTAGAGCACTTCGCTCTCGCTCTGCAGGCCTACTTGTTGTTCCTAGAGTATTTAAAAGTAGAATGGGAGGGAGAGCCTTCAGTGAATATAAGGTTTACAGCATATCTTGTCACTGGTAATTGTTTGCAATGTTTATATATTTATATTATTTACTGTAGGTATTGGTGAAAAAAGCTTTATGTTGTGAAAAACTGAAATCTGGAAATTAGAATTGTTGTGCCTTATTTTGTTGATGTTTTTACATATATTCCTTTTGAAAATGGTAAAATTTGTATATTTATTAATTTTTGTTTGTCTGATAAAATTTATTTAAAAAATAAATCGGATATTTCAAACAGTTACTCACTACTTGAGTAGTCTTTTCGCCAAGTACTTTTTTACTCTTACTTGAATAACTTTTTTGACATCTACTTTTCACTTTTACTTGAGTAATAATATTTTAAAGTAATGCTACTCTTATTTGAGTACAATTTTTGGATATGGATGTAACACAGAGACATGGAACACAGAGACACGAAACCAGGCAGAATTGTTTCATTGTTGTCCGAAGACATTACTGCTACTAACACATCCATATCTGCCACACAGAGCTCCACATGTACTGCTCATTTAGAACAAATGACTGTCAGCAAACGAGGACACAATCACACAGCCCACTGTCTTTGTTAGATGCGCGCCTGTTTCAGCAAAGTTCACAAACTCCCTCCAACACAACGTCCGGCCCACTGTGCGGCTCCACCAATGAGATCCGAGGGCCCGCGCAGTGGTATTAGCATACAGCCTGTATAAAAAGCGCCGCTCTCGGTCACGGAGCTCATTCGTTACTGCAGAGTATCGAGGAACGAAAATGCCTGAACCCGCCAAGTCAGCGCCCAAGAAGGGCTCCAAGAAAGCCGTGACCAAGACTGCCGGCAAGGGCGGCAAGAAGAAGAGAAAGACCAGGAAGGAGAGCTACGCCATCTACGTGTACAAGGTGCTGAAGCAGGTCCACCCCGACACCGGGATCTCCTCCAAAGCCATGAGCATCATGAACTCGTTTGTCAACGACATCTTCGAGCGCATCGCAGCCGAGGCATCTCGCCTGGCCCACTACAACAAACGCTCCACTATCACTTCCAGGGAGATCCAGACCGCAGTGCGCCTCCTTCTCCCCGGTGAGCTGGCCAAGCACGCCGTGTCTGAGGGCACAAAGGCCGTCACCAAGTACACGAGCTCTAAGTAAGCTGACTGCAACTCAGACGTCAACACAACGGCTCTTTTCAGAGCCACACACGTCATACTGACGAGCAGAATTCCTGCCGTTAAACATGCAGCTCACTATGTTACAACTACTATAATCGCGGATGTGCACCTTTGTGTCACTGGGTGCTATCAATCTGCTTTACTGACCCTAGTCTACAGAAATGTGTTCCGGTTTTTACTTGGTAGTGACTTTGTCTTTCTACAGACACAGCTAATGAGATTTTTTTTTTTTTAAATTAAACACTTGGTATTAGTTCAAAGAATACTTTTTTTTCTTCTGCAGTGTGTACAGAATGCAGCGGCAAGACTTTTAACTGGTACAAACAAGAGGTCACACATTACTCCAGTTTTGGCTTCTCTTCATTGGTTGCCTGTAAATTTTAGGGTTCATTTTAAATTTTTAGTTTTAACTTTTTAGAGCTCTGCACGGTGAAGCTCCCCAGTACATCTCTGACGTGCTGAAACCTCATGCTTCATCCCGAGCACTTAGGTCTTCAAGTCAGAGGCTACTGGTGGTCCCACGTACTAGGTTTAAAACACGTGGGGATCGGGCTTTTCAGGCACTGGCACGTAGGCTGTGGAACTCTCTGCCGTTGTCTTTACGCTGTCTAGACTCTACTGACTCCTTTAAAAAGCAGCTGAAGACATTTTATACAAACGGGCTTTTAATTAATTTTAACTTGTATGTCTGATCTTATTGTAAAGCACTTTGTGATTTTTATCTGTGAAATGTGCTATATAAATAAATTTTACTTTTACTTAGGATTTGTTCCACTATGCAAAGAGTGCAGGAAAAACTGGTAGAGATGCAGTTACAGTCTACCTGGGCCCCACCAACTATCAGCTAAAGAGAAGAAATAAATTCAATTGCTGCACATTTTCTAGACCCGTCTGTGGTCCTGTCTGTTATATGCAGCACCATGCTCTTGCTTCACTGTTAAGTTAGCAACTACATTTTAAAATATTCTATTAAACACATAATACATTTATAGATGCATATTATTATTAAAATATATAATATTGTTTTATTTTAATTTTTTTTAAAGCCTACACTGGCTGTTGTAGTGGAAGTAAACTCTACTTTACAACCTTACCTGACTAAATCTAGGCCAGTGGAATTGACATTCAGTCATTTCAAGGACACATTTTATTCCAAGCTGAGCGCGTACTGCTATTTATTTTTTTACCATGTATTTATTTCATTACTCGTTTCATAACCATTTTGATTCATGTACATTTGAACATATGGAGTTCTGTAGTGTTAAGGCCCTCCCAGCTGGAGGAGAAGAGTCAGTGGCTGCCCTGTGTCCCCCCTCCTCAGTAGTTTTCCACTAAAGCTGAGGATGAAAGTTGCGATTTGGTGTGAGCCTCCCTTCGGTTAGACATAATTTGTCAGTAACAAAAGACAACATTTCCACATTTAGAGAATAGAAGAGTGGGCGGGGCCACTGAGCTTCGAGCGGTCCAGCGATCAGTCTGTTTTCTTTTACGTCCGCCGAGCACAGATAATAACACGGCTCCGTGGGGTTGAGATTCATTCGACTTTGTTCGTTCAGAGAAGAAACAATAACAATGAGTGGACGAGGCAAAGGCGGCAAAGGACTCGGAAAAGGAGGCGCCAAGCGTCACCGTAAAGTTCTCCGTGATAACATCCAGGGCATCACCAAACCGGCCATCCGCCGTCTGGCTCGCCGTGGCGGAGTGAAGCGTATCTCCGGTCTGATCTACGAGGAGACCCGCGGTGTGCTCAAGGTGTTTCTGGAGAACGTCATCCGCGACGCCGTCACCTACACTGAGCACGCTAAGAGGAAGACTGTGACCGCCATGGATGTGGTGTACGCTCTGAAGAGGCAGGGGCGCACTCTGTACGGCTTCGGCGGGTAAACTCCTTCACCCCAATCCATCAAACGGCTCTTTTAAGAGCCACCCACTTTCACTTTAAGAGCTTTCTTCTGCCATCTTGTGATATTAATCCGCTGTATTGAACCCTAGTCAACAGAAATGTGTTCCTGCTTTTTACTTTATCAAAAGACATAGTTACTACAAACAGAATTAATGCGACTTTTTAGTTATCTCCTGGTTTTAGTTAAAGGTATACTTTTTTTTTCTTCTTATATGCAAAGTTGCGCTAATCATAAGATTAAAATGCTTTGGCACAAAACTAGTAGCAACATTCATGTTGCAGCTTTTCATTGCATGGTCGTGTCTGTATAGTTTTGGTCGTCTGTATTCGTCTTGTTGCAGTTTTCGGTTTCTGCTGTGAGGTTATCCTCCATGCACTTATACAATTAATCGCTAGACGGGTTTTTTTTTTAATAAATATTATATTAGGGAAATTTTCCTATACATATCTTTGACCTGGGGGCAGAATTGATCGTGAAATGGACAGAAAAAATGCGTATGAACTTATAAATTTACAGCATGATGCATTTAAGGTAATCCCTTTTCCATTTTTATTTAAGAGGATTTGTTCCACTATGCGAAGAGTGCAGAAAAACTGGTAGAGATGCAGTTACAGTCTACCTGGGCCCCACCAACTATCAGCTAAAGAGAAGAAATAAATTCAATTGCTGCACATTTTCTAGACTAAAATTTTGAGATTATTTCAAAAATAAAATATCTTTTTGTAACATTAAATGTTGCGAATCAAATGGAAGTCTTTCTAAAGTTTAATGATATTTATATTATGAAAAGCAGATTTTTGACATTTTAAGTTTTTCCCGTTTCCAGTTAAAATAAACACACACAAGCAAACAGCCAGAACACAAAGCTGGAAAACTACGGAGCCCCGCAGGGGGCATGGGAGAAAAAAAAAATTAAGACTGACTTTTGCGAGATCTCGCAAAACTTTTAGCCGCATTCTTCGGACGCCGGCTCGAAGCCGACCGGGAGGTCGAGGCACGATGTGCCGGGAAAGCGGTGTTCCTCCCGGCTGTAGTAGCTCTCGACCTCCCGTTAGCTTAAATTAATCTTAATCCGTCTTAATTTTTTTTTCTCCCATGTCCCCTGCAGGCGCTCCATAGAAAACCCACCCGATCGACCAAAATCAACTCAAAATACTAGTGATGTGACGTTCTGTATCGAGGCTTCGAAGCGTGTGTCGAGTAATGGAGGGGGCGTTTCCGCGATGCGCGTATCGAGGCTTGCTTCATTTATGGGAGGAGCTGAAAATGATGACGTCCGAAGCCTCGCTGCCCGGCTGTACCACGTGACTGGTTCAGGAAGTGGTTCGAACTTTGCCGCGAGATATGACAGCGATATAAACCCCTCAGACTTCAAAATGTGGGTGTTTGATGGAGAGTTGCGGTTAGTGAGAGTTTGGAGACAGTTTGGAGGTTTATGAGAGTGAGGAGAGAAAGTCAGGAGAGAATGGAGCCAGCTAAGAAGAGGAGGATGTCCTCCCCTGTGTGGGAACATTTTGATCTTATTCCTCCCAACAAAGGTATGTAAATTTCTACAGAAGATGTATTTTCATAATACTGATGGTGCAATACAATTTATGTTAAGCGGCTTTACTTTTGTACAAGGTGAAGTGTTTGCTATGTGCCAGGGAGCTGGGATATAACAACAAAACCTCATCCATGCTTAGGCACTACAGAGCTTTGCATGAGAATAAGGGGGACACCGATTGTAGAGCAAGACCAGGTGAGCCATCAAATGCCATGATAATATAGCATGCTGTAATGTTACTAAATGATATAACAATATTATACAACTGTTATAAGTTACGTGTGTGATATTTATATTTGTGCTTTGTTCTCCCGAGGAAAGACAATCTCAAATAGATGAAGACCTGGTCAGCATGGTGATTGAGGACTTCCAGCCATTTAGCATTGTGGAGGACAAAGGATTCAAAAGATTCGTTAAATCATTAAATCTTAGCTATGTTCTCCCCACTAGAAAGGTCATAAAAGCAGTGAAATTTAGTTTTTACACAATAAAATATGGGCAGGACTGACGCCTCAGTGTGTAGCTGTCCATACCTCAACGTTACAAAAGCACAACTACTGTCCACACCCCAACCACACCTCACCTCACAGTAAATGATCATTTCCATTTTAAGCATTTCCAAATGATCATTTTCCATACTGCCAGTATAAATATACACAGTATACTGCCATCACTACAATATAGATGTTTTACACACTCCTTTTGTTGTTGACATTTACAGGCTGTGTGCAAAAGGCCACACTCTTCAAATTCATGCCAACTAATATTTTTACGTCCAGTAGGTGTCCTACTAGAGCAAATGAAGCTTCAAGAAGCTTTGCGCTGGGGTGAACCAGTTGGATGAAAAGCTTCAGTGCTTCATGAAGCTTCATCTGCCCATCACTAGAAAATACTGCCACACAACAGAACCTCCTCTCCTCCTCCTCAAAAAACTCCACAAATGAATGAGTCACCTGCTTATAAACCATTGAATCAGACACCGAAGCCGTTAGACTCTAAATGAAGCTTCGGACGTCACTGATCACGTGATTCTGGCCAAACGAATCAAGCTTCGACACAGTGCTTCTGAAGCAGTGTGTTGATTTTTTTGACACATGCTTCAAGCGAGCCATCACTACTTCACTGTGTACTGCACTGCACATGGTTGAAATGACAAACCCACCTAACTTGATGTGCACTTTAACACACAACTAGACTAACCAGGATACAAAGGGCTAGTTTGTTGGACTATTAGAGGGCAAAAAATGGCTAATTAGATGTCAAAGTGTATACTAAGAAAGATATGAATTGGTATCATCATTTTTTTTGTATTTTTTCCTCACTTGTGGTGCCCCTGGATGGATGACACTGTTAGCATTTGCCTATACTGCCTATGCCACAGGCAGGCCCTGCTGTGTCCTTCACATCCAGCTTTCCTAGCAATTCCCAGAGGAATTTCCATCAAAGCTTTCTTCAATCTAACTCCTAATTTGATGGCTCCATAGCCACCTTTTTATATAATGCAACTATTGTAGTAAGTGCTGTGCATAAGATGGAGGAGTTGTACAGGAGGTAGGAATGATTTCCTGTCGTGTTCAGAGGGGATTTTTGGTCATCTCAGTCTCTCACTAAACACACTCCAGTGACTGGTCAGCACATGATGGTGTGGGTCAGGGGTATGGTTCAGGATTTGACTTATGCACAAAAAAAAATTGTGGTCACATATTTTTCAGTAGGTGGGATAATAACAGAATCCTCCAGAAAGAGGAGCAGATATACTGGGCATGAGCTTTATTAGTGCCAGAGCTGGGAAATGCACCCACATGGGCAGAGCAGGATAAAATAAATAACAAATAATAACAACAACCTTATTATATTACGATAATAATAAATAGAATAGATACAAGGATAAAATAATTTTTGACTAATAGCGAAAGAGAGTGATTAACAGTGAGATGGCTGGGTGTTTTTAGCAGGTGTTGAGTATTACACATTGAGATACGCAGTGATCAGTTTGTGGATGCAGACTAAGATCAAAGCCAAAGTGTGGAAGCGAGCTGCTGTAAGGTCACTAATGAAGCTTCTGTACAACAATGTGAGTGAAACTGTGCTTTGGTTAGAAGTGAGCAGCTGTCACACAGGTCTCGCTGCTCCGTGGGCCTGCAGCAGCATCGGTGTGTTTGCTGGGAGCTCGCAGCGTCACTTTGTCCCACAGCTGCGCTCACCAGATGCTGCTTTTAACTCGGAGTGCGTGAACAAACATGTGTATCAGCTAGAAAAGGCTTTTTACGGAGCTCTGCTGCGGCTCCACCGGTTTTAGCAGAGAAAAGAGTCCAAGAAGCCGCCGAGCAGCGCTGACCTCCGCACCGAGTCGCCGAGCTTTGGGAGCTCCACGAACCGAGAGCAGAGAGCATGAGAGCCCGACACGAGGCCTGCACGAGGAGACACAAGCCCGCTGTGGACGGCTCCACTGTCGACCTGCAGTGCTGCTCTCACACTCACTTTAAGCTCTTTGATCCCGAGACACGAAACACAAAATGAAGCATTGCGAGACACGCGAGAGCTGCGCGCGCTGCCTTCACTCTCCACGGTTCTCATGATGCGTTTAAGTGCAGCGTGGCGCTTCCGACTTGCCATCACTGTACCGTGAATCTCGATCAGACGCGAAAGAGGAAAATGTCCGAGGAAGCTCCCGCACCTGCTGCCGTCCCGGCCAAGGCGGCCAAGAAGAAAAAGACGACGGCTTCCAAGCCCAAGAAGGTCGGCCCCAGCGTGGGCGAGCTGATTGTGAAAACCGTGGCCGCTTCCAAGGAGCGCAGCGGCGTGTCCGCAGCCGCGCTCAAGAAGGCTCTGGCTGCCGGAGGCTACGATGTGGACAAGAACAAGGCCCGCGTCAAGACTGCCATCAAGAGCCTGGTAGCGAAGGGCACTCTGGTGCAGACCAAGGGCACCGGGGCCTCCGGATCCTTCAAGATGAACAAGAAGGTTACTGAGAGCTAAGCCAAGAAGCCCGCAAAGAAAGCCGCTCCTAAAGCCAAGAAGCCCGCCGCGGCCAAAGCCAAGAAACCGGCAGCAGCTGCTAAGAAGTCGCCCAAGAAGGCAGCAGCTAAGAAGCCCGCAGCCGATAAGAAGTCGCCCAAGAAGGCCAAGAAGCCCGCAGCGGCGGCCAAGAAAGCGCCCAAAAGCCCCAAGAAAGCAGCAAAGAGCCCCAAGAAGGTGCTCAAGAAGGCTCCCGCACCAAAGAAATCCCCCGCCAAGAAGGCCGCCAAGCCCAAAGTCAAGAAGGCGGCCACAGCAGCCAAGAAGAAGTGAGCTGACACCGCTCTCACACTCAACAACGGCTCTTCTCAGAGCCACCACAGCAACACACAAGAGCTCCTTCCTCTCACTCACTCACCCACCACTCTGTCATTCACAATAATGTCCTATTATTAAAGCGCTTTTTTTTCCCCCCTCCATTGTCCTCATTACAATTACAACTTGGATTACTATCATAACTTTTGCACTGTCCACTTCCTGCTGTGACAAAACAAATTTCCCACGTGTGGGACTAATAAAGGTTATCTTATCTTATCATGGTGCACATTAGTGCTGTCTAAGCAAGTCTGCAACTATAAGAATACAAATATTAACAACTCAATATTTACAATCACACCGTAATACAAGCATCACACCACTTTTACTGTGAAACATCATACAAGAAATAAACTGTTAAGGTTAGCAACTACATTTTAAAGTATTCTATTAAACAACACACAATACATTCATAGATGCATGTTATTATTCTTGTATGAAATATTGAGTTTTTTAAAAGCCTACACTGGCTGTTGTACTGGAAGTACACTGTATATTTTAATGATACCCAGCTAATACAATCCACTTGAAATGCTCTAATCTACAACCTCACCTGACTAAATCTAGGCCAGTTGAATTGATATTGTGTGATTTCAAGGACACATTTTACTCCAAGCTGAGCCCGTACTGCTATTTATTTTACCATGGAGCTCTGTAGCGTGAAGGATGAGGGGAATTAAATTATTTCAAAATATAGTCTTGAGGTTTACTTCTTGACCTCACCGATTCTTTGGAGCTGAAAAAGAGTCCGGGGCTGCCCTGTGTCCCCCTCCACAGCAGTTTTCCACTAATTCTATTGTTCAGTCTGGGGGGGCTGTCCTCTAACCAGACTAGTAACTGTGGCTTCTTGTTCTTGGCTGAGGCAGCTTTCACTCACTTTATAACAGGCAGACCCCCACTGTCACTTTTGCATACTATACAGTTACACACCAAAGTTTATCGCTGAAAAAAGCTGATTTGGCACGTCAGAGGTCAGGGTTCAGCAACTTAATGTCATTCTTGAGAGCTTTAAGGTCGCATGAAAAGCTTTGAGAACAAAAATCCACTATTGTCCTTAAAACAGGTTGACAAAGTCATTCTAACAAAACCCACACTTAGGAATCATTTCCTGTTCTTCTGATCACCAGCTGCCCCCTATTATCCAAGTAAACCTAAACACATTCTATTCTTCGAATTGTTTTATTCTACTCACAATAGACACAAAACCCTAAGCGTAGATGTGACTTTGCAAAATGTCCCAAATTCAGCAGCAGCGCTGAACACGTCGCAAACAGCTGCACATTTTCCTCCCTCTGTAGCAAAGAAGTCCACCTGTCCCTCTCCACCTCACGTTGTTATATTTTCCTGTGTTTAACAAGGTTTGAACTGCGTGTTGTCTGTTTCCATGAGCTTAGAAACTGTTTTAATTATAAAGTGAGTGAACCATGATGAGTATCCAGTCAGTTAAGCTAATAATTAGTGACATCCAATGTATTCTTAATTAGTAAGATGAGCAATGAGGTTGAACACGACCCCACACCGCAGGAGGCAGAGCTTTTTGCTGTAGTTTTATATCAAGACCTAAAGTTTGTTTAGTCTATTCTTTTGTGAATGAAACTCAGAGCTTTGGAGTTAATGAAAGTAGTTCTTATTTGAAGGTGGATTTCAGTCCCTGATTCTGTCTGATGACATGAATAAATATAAATTATAAAATAAATCAAGATGCATAATCTACATTTCCCAATACACAACTTGTTACAAACACCATAACAGCAAGAAGGATGTTTGCTCAGAGAGAAGTGTTTGGCTCTTAAAAGAGCCTTTGTTTTTGGTGAAGCAGAGCGCTTTGCGTTTACTTGGCCTTGGCGGGCTTCTCGGTCTTCTTGGGCAGCAGCACAGCCTGGATGTTGGGCAGCACACCACCCTGAGCGATGGTGACTCCCCCCAGGAGCTTGTTGAGCTCCTCGTCGTTGCGCACAGCCAGCTGCAGGTGACGTGGGATGATGCGAGTCTTCTTGTTGTCGCGGGCTGCGTTGCCAGCCAGCTCCAGGATCTCAGCTGTCAGGTACTCGAGCACAGCTGCCAGATAAACAGGAGCGCCGGCTCCCACACGCTCGGCATAGTTACCTTTACGCAGCAGTCTATGGACACGACCCACGGGGAACTGAAGCCCGGCACGGGATGAGCGGGTCTTGGCCTTAGCTCTGGCTTTGCCTCCGGTCTTTCTTTTTTTTTTTAAAAAAAACTTTATTTAAAGTAAACAAGTTTACATATAAAATGCACATACACATACAATTACATATACAAAACCTTGAGCACATACAAAAGGGAGAAACAAGGAGGAAAATCTAGCATCTGAGTCCACACAACGCTCACAAGACTTACAGTTTTAATTCGTTCCAGGGGAAAACTTTCCCAAGTTTCAGGTCCATTGTTCGTCTTCTCCGAAGGTCTGTAATGATATGTTTACTCACCACATCACTACTTATCATCTTTTGTTCTAACACTCCTTTGGCACGAGTTTTCCAAATATGTGTGTTTATTACACACATTACTAACCAAAAGAGTCTCCTTTTGTCGTCACACATTTTTTCTTTAAACAAACCATATTTAACTGCTTTAATATTAACATCCACATCATAGCCAATTTCTGTCATTTTCTGCCTGATCTCAGTTGTCCTATAACAATCCAATAGAAGATGTTCTAGGGTCTCATCTTTATCACAACCTGTCATAGGACATTTCATGGTGGTAACAAAACAACTCCATTTTACCACCGCTCTCACGGGGAGGCGCCCGAGCGAGATGAGCCACACCACGTCTCTCATGCTTTCAGATAATAATTTGTCTTGTATATTTTTAACTATTGAAAGGTTTTCATCTTCATTTGCATACTTATATTGAATTACACCTTCATTTTTGGTTTCATTAATTTTTTTATAGATATTTTTCGTATTGTCTTGGAGAAAATTTAAACTATATTGTTCCCATTGACTTGATAAGTCACCGAACATAAGTCTGTGGTATGGAACACCCGCTCTGGCCCTGCCCCTTTTCTTTTGCCACAATTGCTCCTTCCCTCGAACCCACGGGGCACCCCGAGAAATTGCGCTTTGAGTAATTTTCATAAAAGGAATTCGCAAAACAATCTCTAAGTCTGGGGCTCCCAAGCCCCCGTGCTTCCTACTCTTGTACATAAATTTCCTCTTAGTCACTTCTCGATTGGATCCCCAGATAAATTTAATGCACATCTTACTTATTTTCATTACGGTTGTTCTCGGGGGAGGAAAAATTGCGGCAAGGAAAAGAAGTTTCGAAATTATGTGTGTTTTTACAATATTAATACGTGTTTTATAATTTGTATCTTTATTTTCCCATTTCATAATTTCCATTTTAATTTCATTTTCTTTCTTATTCCAATTTAGTAAACTAGAGTCAGTATTATCAATCCATATACCCAGAATTTTAATCTCCCTACAAAGAGAGCTCATCATTTTAGGTTGTCTGGTCGGATGTCCAAGCCACACCCCTTCAGTTTTGTCTTGGTTCAGTTTGGCACCTGATGCCTGTTCGTAATGGTGTAATATCTCCATAACTGAAGACAATTCGTTTTGGTTTCTGATTATCACCGTCACGTCATCTGCATACGCCAAAGCTGCGATTTTAAGGGATTTATCTAGGACGTATCCCTTGATCCGTTTATCATCATTTATCCTTTTCAATAAGGGATTAATTGCAAGGACATATAACGCAGCACTCAAAGGACATCCTTGTTTAACCCCGCACTCAGCACTAAAAGGGGATGAGAGCTTTCCATTTACCTTAACTTGCACTAGGGACTTTTTATAAATCAATTGGATAATAGAAATAAATTGGTCCGGAAAATTATAAGCTTTCATTACTTTCCATAAATAAGAGTGGGAAACAGAATCAAAAGCCCTCCTTTGATCTAATCCTAAAATGCAGAGCTCTGAATCCTTTCCATTATAAATAATTTCTCTTAACATACTTAAGTTATCCCACATCAATCGTCCCTTAATTGCGCATGTTTGTTCCTTTTCAATGATAATATCTAATACACCCTCTAGTCTGGACATAATTATTTTAGCAAAAATTTTATAATCTACATTCATTATTGTCAGTTGCCTATAATTGTTAATGTCTTCTCTATCGCCTTTCTTATATAATAAACACATAACTCCTTCATAAAACGATTTACCCATTGTTTCTCTTTCTATTCCTTCATTAAAATACTGAGTTAATAATTCAGACAGTTCTTTACTCACAATTTTGTAAAATTCAGAGGGGAGTCCATCCAGACCAGGTGTTTTATCGGTACTAAGTTGGTTAATTACTGACTCTACTTCCTCTCTTTTAATTTTTCCAATCAAAGTTTCATAAATGACAGAATCTAATGGTTCAACCTCACTCAAAAAATTGTTAATAGCGTCGCTGTTTGTAACTATGGATGAAAACATCTCTGAACAATAGTCTCTAATTACTTGTCTTTTCCCCTCTTCTTTAAAAACTGACTTTCCATGTTTATCCTTAATTGAGACAATAAAGTCATTCCGACTTTTCTTTTGATTATTAAGAATCATATAATCACTGTTCCCGTGAAAGTCAGTACGTCGCAACATATTAAATAAAACTTCTCTATTGACTCGATCAATGTCCTCTTTAAGAGACATCATTTGATTTTCCTCCTCCTCTTCCTTCTCCTTCTTATTTCTTAAATATATATATCTACTCACATCTTCATTATATTTTACATTCTTTGCATGATTTATTTCTCTCGCTTTAAATTTAAAAAGTTGACGCATACGTCGTTTAAGAAGCTCCCAAAGTTCCGAGAAAGAAGTAGTAAAAATCTTAAGATGTAATATTTTCCTAATTTCGGATTTAACTTCAGACACAAGCAACTCGTCTGCTAACAAGGATGTATTCAATTTCCAATAGTTCAAAAATTCATGGGGACAACACGACACTGTTGCCATAACCACCATATGATCAGAAAAGTCTGTTAAAAGAGTGTCATATTTCAGACCTTGAACATTATGTGATATGTAGAATCTATCAATCCTTGTTTTAGTAAACGAATCGAATCTAGTGTAGTGGACGGTATGTGGATGCAAGTGCCTGTATAAATCACGGAGTGCTGCTTCCTTACAAACTTTAACCAACAATTTGCTTTCCCGCAGTTCTCTAAATTCAACCTTGGATATTCTGTCAGTAGCTTCAGTAACAATGTTAAAATCTCCACACAAAATTATATTAAAACCAATCTCTAATAAATACTTCAATTTTTTCAACAATTGTATCTTTTTCGTTCGTTCGGGTGCATTATAAACATTAATAATACGCAACCTTTGCCCGTAATAACAGCAATCAACAAGGAGGAGTCGTCCCGGTATTATGTCTCTTCTTTTGATTATATTCACCGCATCTTTTTTAAAGAAAATACCCACTCCGTCAGAGCTGTCTTCCCCTATCGATATTATTGAATGGGCAGTGTTCCACATTTTATTTAATTCACATACATCTACGTGTGTCTTTAATCTCATCTCTTGAAGGCACAAAATATCATAATCAAGTCTTTTTAAGAAATCAACCTTCTTTTTCCTGCTCTTATCTGATTGGAGACCTCTGACATTAAATGTTATTATTTTGATGTTACTCATAGGTTGACTAAAGGAGAGACCATCTCAGAAATATTACTCACGGAGGACTTGGTCTATTATCCTTCCGCTTATCTCTTCCAGAGCTAGAAGCAGAAACGCTCCTTTTTCTGCTTCCTCTCGTATCCTCGTTGACGAGCTCGTTGAGGGCTGGGTGACTTCCACTAAAGAAGGTCTTCCGTTTTACTTTCGTTTCCCCGGGCAGCGAAGCAAGAGCCAGAGATGCCGCCTCTGAGAGAGGGAAGGATCCATGGTCCTCGCTATCTCCGTCGTCCTCAGGTGTCTGCTCGCTGTCGATTTCTTCGTCGTCACTATCGCTTTCATTCTCACCATCCGATGTCTCTATGATTAGGTTACCATCTAGCTCTTTATCACTCTCGTCGCTTGACTGAGACAGTGGAGATGGTAACTCATTTTGAACAGGGCTAGACTGGGTATCCTGTTCATCCACTTGTGGATTGTCCAATCCAGGCGAAACTGGGAGTGACAGTGAGGTAGTTGTCGGAGGAAGGTGGGGAGGAGTAGAGGGAGGGGGCTCTCTCACCTGGTCATTCACAGGGGGATCCAAGACTTGGGAAGGATCCACCAAAGAAGGGAATTCCATGGTGGCGGAAGGTCGAGGTTGTTGGGAAGATTTAAGTATATTCACGTAGGACTTGGGGCATTTAAAGGAAGTGTGCCCTTTCGCACCACAGAGGGAGCACTCACTTTCGTTTTGGCAAATTTTAGCCTTGTGGCCCAACTCACCACATTTCCAACATTTGACAGTGGGGCATTCTCTCGCTTGGTGGTCTGGACCTTGGCAGATGAAACACCTCACCGATTGGCCCGGATAGATAATCCTGCCATTGTAGGGGCCCAACGAGATGGAATTCGGAATAGAAATTATATGTCCAGCTTCATCTCTACGCATCCGAACTTTGTATTTTCGGACTCCATACCAGAATCCGAATTTATCCACTGGCTTGACTGGGGGTTGAAGAATCTCGCAATACCTTTTAAGGTATAACTCGATATCTTGGTCTGGAATCCTTCCAGTCCAGAACTTAACAACAAGAGTCACTACCTCTACCTGGACAGAAGACTCCACTTGCCAGTCTTTCCATTTCGGATGTGATGCGTTAGAAAGGGAGATCTCTAAGAAGCGACGTAAGGGTGCCTCTTCGGTGAAACACAGCTCAAAATCCCGTTTACTGGGCAGAGCAATGAAGGAGTATATGTCCTGCACATTCAGCCATGATGTTTGCAATATCAGCTCTTCAGCAACATAATCACGGGTCGGGGGGTCCCCGTCTCCGATGTACTTAAGTCTCACCCATAAATTGCTGAAGTTTGAAGCAAACGATAATGGGGCATACGGGGGCATGATTACATAACTAATAACCAATTACTCCGGTCTTTCTGCGACCACTCATTTTGACAGGTTCTTTTCTTCGTAGTATCGAGACTAAAAGAAAATGTGGCCCGATCAGCTCAAAGCCTCGCTTATATTTCCGCAGAGCGCGCGCAGCTTCGTCACGCACCAATCGCAGAGAGACTTGCGGCAGCGCGCAACATCAATGCACTTTTCTCCAATGAGCAGCACACACCGAGGCGGGCGGTGCTCCACGTGGAGCCCATCACCAATCACGAGCCGGAGCGGCACCGCGTCACAGCCAGTCACACACTTTAAGAGCAGCGAGTCTCCTCTGTTCGCTACATTTTCTGCTCTTATCACAGGGAAAGAAAAGTAAGGAAGAATGGCAAGAACCAAGCAGACCGCTCGCAAATCCACTGGCGGCAAAGCCCCCAGGAAGCAGCTAGCCACCAAGGCTGCTCGTAAGAGCGCCCCGGCCACCGGAGGCGTCAAGAAGCCCCACCGTTATAGGCCTGGTACCGTGGCTCTGCGCGAGATCCGCCGTTACCAGAAATCCACCGAGCTGCTGATCCGCAAGCTGCCCTTCCAGCGCCTGGTCCGCGAGATCGCTCAAGACTTCAAGACCGACCTGCGCTTCCAGAGCTCTGCTGTCATGGCTCTGCAGGAGGCCAGCGAGGCTTACCTGGTCGGACTCTTCGAGGACACCAACCTGTGCGCCATCCACGCCAAAAGGGTCACCATCATGCCCAAAGACATCCAGCTGGCTCGCCGCATCCGCGGAGAGAGAGCTTAAGCTGCACGCTCTCCTACCAACAACGGCTCTTTTCAGAGCCACCTCACTCACACCAAGAGCTCGGTCCAGTAGTAGTAGTAGCAGCTCATACTCGCACTTATATCTTCATGCTCTTTCTATTCTAGAAACTACAGTTGGCAATTCACTAACTTCCATTACAAAACTTTTTTTTTTAAGCATTAATTGTTGTATGCTGTTGTAATGGCTCCCTCCTTTAATTATTCACATATTATTTTCCAACGCTCATCACATTTCAGTTCTTTGTACTAGACAATATGATAGACAAAGTGCTCTGAAGTACAAAGCATAGACTCCTATTCGATAGTTAGAAGTTAGCAGGGAGTTAACTCGCTAGCTTCTAAATACAATATAGCATGTCCTGACTGCGGGGTTTTGGAAACAAATTCAAACGTACAGCTCTGTTATCACTTCCAGCATAAATGAAGACAGAAAAATAAACAGCAGTGACGTTTGTAGGGTTACTGAAGTTGGGCTAGCTGGTATGATGATGTGCTACGTGACCGCTAGCGACACAGCTATGTTAGCATAATATAAACAAGCTAACTTTTTTCCACTCGATAAAAGTTAATGTGAGTGTTCTCGGTGGTCAGGAACAAATGTAATCGCATGGCAGGATGCTGTAAAAGGACCAACCTTCAGCCAGGAGAACAACTGAGATAATCCATCCACAATACGAGGTTAGTCATTCATATACTGCTGCATGGGCTGGGCTGCAGTTACATCCTAAGGTTTTAAAAACTGAGCTTAAATAAATGATTAGCGGTAATAAAAGCCGAGGGAGGTCAACATTTGAGATCAAATAGAAGAAAATACATAACATTAAACATGTTAACAACACAAAAGCCATATTAGACGCAGACTACTTTAGACCCGGAAGTAGGATTCGTCGCGTCATCACTGAACAACCGGATAGTTGAAATGTGCTATAGAATACTATAGTATTATACTGGATGACTGAGAACCTTCACAGACATATAGAATACTATAGACATGACAGTAAGGCAAACATGTTAATATTAGTTTGCAGAGGCTGTTAAAATGTTATCTAACGTTAACATGTTGGTGACACAATTTCATCCTAATGGTACTGACCTATTCATAGGATTCATTTTTGAGACAAATATCAAGATCGGCAGAAACACTGAAGCAGCTACCCATTGTATTCTTGTTGTCATCTATGTCCTATTGTCACGTGACAGAAGAACCAAAACAGTGTCCTATAACTGAACTAATGTTGTTAAGTCCTTAAAGTCATATAATTTTATTGTCATGATTGTATTTCAAGCTTTTTTTTTGTATGATACCTGATTTATATGGAATATGACTGAAGTAAACTAAAGTCTAAAATTCTTAGTCTGTCATTTGTTCAATAGTAATTTAACATTAAGTAATTCAAACTATGAATTGTAATTTTAAATTGTTTAAAAGCATGTAGAATAGCAAATGTAGGAAAGTATATGTCTCCTTTTTTATTTATTTTTTTAATCAAGAAACAAAGACAAAAAGCAGGGCAGGGTTCGGTGGTTGAATCGTCCGTCCCCACCAATGCCAAAAACAAATCTACGCCCTTGTCAGGATCATCCCCCACCACCTGCAGCTGGCCGTCCACAACGACGAAGAGCTGAACAAGCTGCTGGGCTGAGTGACGATCGCTCAGGGTGGTGTGCTGCCCAACATCCAGGCCAAGAAGACTGAGAAAGCTAAATAAAATCCAGCGACTTCCCTCAACCGACTAACGGCTCTTGTAAGAGCCACTCACAACCTCTGAGAGTACACTTGATTAAAGTAATGAAACTAAATATTTAATCCATAGGTGTCAAACTCATGTTCACACTAGAACTGAAGTGGGCCTGTTAGTCTATCAGTATGTGCAACACATTTAATTGTTTTACTGCATGCAGTAAAATTGTAAAGTTATTACCCAGACTTTTCTTTTCATAAATTTCCTGTAAAAACAAATCTGTGTAGTAAACTAAAACTAAAAAAAAAAGACAGCTGAGTAGATTAAAGAGGTTCAGATTTATAATTTTAAATCACTACAAACTCTCATTTAGGTCTAAGATTCATTTAGACCAACAGCGAACCACAGCTGTGAGCTACATGCAAACACACTTTGTGTGTGGTGTGTTTTCTGTAATTCTGATCTGCTCCCTCAAAGGAGCTTTATTTATTTATTTATTTTTTACCTGGAAGCACGTCAACGTAGACAATCTGGCAAAACTTCTTGTTTGCGATGTGGGTCATTTCATCACAGAGCATTAACAGTTGCCTTTGATACTTTGTTTGCAGTTTAAACAGACATGTTGCATGTTGGTGAAAATAAAATTTCAGGCACACATCAGGAAGAGGCTTCGAAAGCTTCATAGGGCTTCATCCACGCATGTCCACCCTCTACTACAGCGGTCCCCAATCCCAGTTGACGTGGGCCGGCCATCACAGCTGATTTAAATGGATAAATTACCTTCTCAACATGTCTTGAAGTTCTCCAGACGCCTGGTAATGAACTAATCATGTGATTCAGGTGTGTTGATCCAGGGTGAGATCTAAAACCTGCAGGGACACCGGCTCGTGGACCGGCCCTCGTGGACTGGGATTGGGGACCCCTGCTGTACTAGATCAAAGGTGGGTTGGTTATCTTAAAAAAAAAAGACCTACTACATAAGCACTAGTGATGTGTCAGTCGCGAACGAAATGGCTCTTAGAACCGGATCTTTGACGTGAACGATGCGAGCCGGCTCCTTTTTGCAAGCCGTGGGTTGTTTTTTCTCTTTCTCTCTCTTTTCTTATGATTGTGGGTTGTGCTTTGCGCTGGGAAGGGGGGGTAGTTACACTCTCAGTACACTCACAGGAACAGAGCAGGAGGAAGAGAGGGGGAAAGAGAGCCACGGACAACAACGTCACATTAGAAAGGTATAGTAATCATCCACAACTATTTTCAGTTGCAGATGATAAAGGATTCAGAAAGTTTATTCATGCAGGTCCATATGACAGAGAATATGCATCTTCTTTTTGTTTTCATATTTTAATTTATATTTAATTGTGTTGTGGTTTGCAGTGTTTTGTGTTTCACTTTAAATTTGTTTAAAAGGAAAAAGATGAAAATGTAAATAGTTAAAAGCTGAACTGAATAGTTGATTTTTGTAATATATGATTTATTTCATTTTATGTGGAGTGAATAAATAAAAGTATATTTACGGTGGACCCTAGAGACAAAGCACGTACAAACCCCGAAGCACATACGAACTCCAAAACATGTAGAAAACACAACAGAAGTGCTCCAGGATGCTCGGTGCAGTGTTGAGCTTTTGTTACCTAGTGGCTACACAAGCCAGGAAGTACTAACGACCGGATTTGGTGTGTGGTAGTAACAGGTAAATGAACTTTTTTTAAAAAATTACTTGAATATATATGAGTGCTTGTGTATAAATACACAAACAATACACATATGCTTTCATTTCTGTAATTAAGTGATCTAGGTAGCTCTGTTTTGGAAGTTCAGTTAACGCTAGGAATATGCTTTGGAATTTGTACATGCTTTGTCTCCAGGGGCCACCGCATACATTTATATATAAACATGTATAAATAAAAACACTTTATTTTGCATTGGTATTTCCTTTTGTGAATAATTTTCTTTTATTGTTCATAAATTAAAGCAACAAAACAACCTGAAGAGCTGGCTCTTTTTAGTTAGCAGAGCCAGAAATCCCATCACTAATAAGTACTTCTGCTTTAAGCGGATTTGTGGCAGGACAGCATTTACAAATAAACTGGTTAATCAGTGAAATCTTTCAGTTCTTTCGTTTGGTCTACACTCCTGCTATAGTTGAGTTTAATGAAACAGTGGTATTGAATAGGTCTGTAACTTTAAGTTCAGTTTGTGGCTCTGTCAGTTAAGGAGAAAGGAAAGCACACATGACAAACGGGTTAATATTCCAGACTCAAGAAAAGCGAAAAGTTAATGTTTGGAATCTCAGTTGGTAATTGTTAAGTTATAACGTAGTACTTCAGAAGTTGCTGGGGATACTGGCAGATTGGTCTACTTTTTCATGACTTCCCTCTACATGACAAAAACCAACAAGATGGCAGAACAAAGCTCTTAAAGTGAAAGTGGGTGGCTCTTAAAAGAGCCGTTTGATGGATTGGAGAGAATGAGTTTACCCGCCGAAGCCGTACAGAGTGCGGCCCTGCCTCTTCAGAGCGTACACCACATCCATGGCGGTCACAGTCTTCCTCTTAGCGTGCTCAGTGTAGGTGACGGCGTCGCGGATGACGTTCTCCAGAAACACCTTGAGCACACCGCGGGTCTCCTCGTAGATCAGACCGGAGATACGCTTCACTCCGCCGCGGCGAGCCAGACGGCGGATGGCCGGTTTGGTGATGCCCTGGATGTTATCACGGAGAACTTTACGGTGACGCTTGGCGCCTCCTTTTCCGAGTCCTTTGCCGCCCTTGCTTTTTTTTTTTTTTTTTTTTCCTTTGCCACCTTTGCTTTTTTTTAATTTATTTTTTTATTTAAAAATCACTTTATTTAAATATCAAAATTCACAATTACAAATACACATAATACAAGCACCATGCACAAATTATTCACATCTTATTTTACATATTACAATAATAAAAGCTCCCATGGCAGGTCTTTTCCTAACCACCCTTGCTATCTCTTAATAATTTACAATAGATACATTAATACAAAAGTTAAATAATACAAAAGTTAAATTAATCAAACATATTAACATTAATTATATCTTCAAAAGGTCCCAAGGTAAAGGGCTATTCTTTTTTTGTTCTAAAGTCTTTCTCCTTCTCAGGTCTGTAAGGATATTTTTGCACACAGCAACGCTATCTATCATTTTATGCTCAATGACCACCTTGGCTCTGGTTTTCCAAATGTGGGTGTTAATGACACACATAATAAGCCAAAAGAGGCGTCTTTTACTGTCATACATTTTTTCTTTAAACAGACCATATTTTATAGCTTGTATATTGTTGTCAATTTCAAAACCCATTTTAGTCATCTGTTG